CTGGGGAGCAGACGCTAGGCAGTTGGGGGTGCAAGAGATTTAATGGAAGTAACACCTGCCAAAGGCTGGACTCAGTGTAGACCTGGCCAGTCTCGCTGGCCCGGCGGGGAGCCGCCCTCACACTGAGGCATGACTTGTACCTCACCTGAGAGCCGAGCTGCACCCTGAACGTGGCCGGCAGATGTCACGCGCTGAGGGGCTGGTCCGCGACCCCGGCAGCCGCCCCACCATAGGGAGGTAGGTTCTGTCCACCGACGTGGGCGCGGCTGCTGTCGCTGCCGGGGGCTGGAGGTTGATTCATGTCGAGGGAAGTGAGTTGCTGCCTGTGGGAATTTGTTGTCTGGTGACAGATAAATGATAAAAAGAAGATAAAAGTAAGGGATCAGTGGAGTGCCAAAAAAGTTCAAAGGCGGATGTCGCTGCCGCTGAGTTCCAGTCAAGTAGGAGCTCCGCAGAGCCTGTCCTGCGAGGGGTGTCCTCAGGCCTTGAGGGTGGGGCTGAGCCAGAGGCTGATCCAGGTGGGGGCTGGGGGCAGCGCGAGCGGACGGAGCAGCATGAGCAGACCAATGCAGACAGGGTTTGCTGTTTTTGTGAAACTTCCAGCTGGAGGGGACTGGGAGCCAATCTTAGAAGTTTAACACATCAAGTTGGTCAACTACAGACAGTTTCGAAGCAAGTGGGGAGTTCCTGCTGGACTCTCTGGGACAGTGGTACGCACGCTCTGCTCCCCAGCAGCTCCTGGGTGGCCGTGGGAGGCTGGGCAGGGGCGCTGGGGGCTCTCAGCCCTGCTCCTCCAACCGGCTTCCCTGCTCTCCACTGTCCTTGTGAGATGGGTTTAGGTCGAGGTAGCTAAGAAGAAGCTGAAAACCACTGCAGTAGTAAATAGAGAACCCCGTAGGTGTTTGAGCAAAGCTATGTTAAGGGGCATCTAGCTACGCAGCATGAGTCAGAGCCAGAGAGCCCGACCGGGAACGCCATCTGGGGTGCCCTGCGGGCCGGAGCCGTGGGAGTGCTGGGAAGGCAGGCGGCGTGTGCTGCGCCGGCCAGGGATGCAGAATGGAGAAGAGAGGCTTCTCCCAACTCTGAGCCTCGACGCGGAGGGTCCGCAGGGACTGGCGGGGAGAAGGTGGAAACAGTGATGAGCTTGATTTTAAACCTGTTAAACTTGAGCTGTAAGGAAGGAAAGCAAGGGGTGGAGGACGGCTGCTCAGAGCGCGTCACCTCCTGAGGCCTGGAGGAGGGCACAGTGCTGGGAGCAGGTCCGAGTCTGGGGGGCTGTGCTAGCAGAGCGGTGGGCATGGGAGGAGGGAGAGTCAGGACCGGAAACTTGAGCAAGGCCATCACAGAAGGCAAGGCAGGAGGGACGGGCGGCCGCTAGAGCTGGCGGCTTTGCGGTGGGTCATTGGGAGGAACGGTGAGGACAGACACCCCCTTACAAGGGGCTGAGTCAAGGTCAGAGCAGATGAGGAGCTGGCGGAGGCCCACGTGATTGGAGAAAGCCTGACAAAGAAGAGCGATGTGAGGACCTAGCCAATGTGAGCGTCAGCGTCTCGTTCTCGGGTTGGAGTCCTCTCTCCATCCTCCTCCGGCTCTGCCTCGCTCTGCTGCCCGCGGCCTCCCAGTGGGTCAGGGTTTGACTTCCGTTAGGATCAGGTGCGGAAAGGAAGACAGAAACCAGTAGTTTCTGAAGTGATTTAATTCTAAATGGTGGGAAAAGTGAGGGAAGCTGGACTCGGTTCCACCTTTGTCACCCCAAGTGGGACCAGTCCGCCAGGCGGAGAGGCCACGTCAGATGTGCACTCACCGAGGGGTTGGCGATTGATTCGAACGATTTCTGGGTCTGTCTGAGGCCGGCCCGGCAGGTGGCTTTCTCCGGTTTCACGATGAGCTTGGGGAAGAGATCGCTGGGACCTTGCAGCGGGAGTCTAGTTTTGCATTGTCACAGGAAGGAATTTTTAAGAACACAATTAAATACACAGGACACCTGGATACCTGGCCTAGTGACGGGTTCAGACCAGGTGTGCAGACCTGTTGTGGCTAGATGCCCGTCTAGGTTCTGGCGGCCCCGGCACTTCCCCCAGAAACGCTGTCCTGCCACCCGCCAGCTGCCCCAACAGGTGCAGCAACCCCAGGCCGTCCCCACGTCACCAGGACGTAAGGAGGAGGCAGAGGAACCGGGTCTTATACCTTCCACGTTGCCCAAGAGGGGCACACGACGCAGAAGCACCGCTGTGCGAAGTACAGAGACAGAGCGTTAGCACTGTCGCGCTTTGAGGTTTTTTTTCTAATCGTCTTTCCTCGTACTTGTCATTTGTAATCGAAACTATACGGTATTTATCTCGCTTCTTTACTTAATGTCATAAAGAAAGCCTTTCCTGTGCTGAAACATGTATAAACAACAATTTAATAGCTTGCGGCTGTTTCCCTGTGGTTGTTCCATAATGTACTTAATCGTTTCTTTCTCACCGATCCCGTAACCAGTTTCTGACTTTTCACAATTGCAAATAAAACCGCACTGTGTATCTTAGAGCATCTGCCGTTTCCCTGTGCGGGGTTCTGGTTTAGGATTGGGGGATTCCTGAAGCCCCTGTGCTGAGGTAAAAGACGCAGACGTGTTTCTGACCTGCACACGGGAAAGCCGTGCCAGCCACACTCCTGGTCACCACGTGTGACAGCTGCAGGTCCACCCCATGCTGCTGTCCGATCACTCACGTTCTGCTCCCAGCTGTCGGTGAACAGTGCAGCCGGCGGTGTATTTGGGTTTTTTCTCCATATGTGTGTGCTTGTTGCGCAAAGAGGGGCAAGTACAGCTCCTGTTTTGAACATCTTCTTGGAAGAACTGTGAGCTCAGCACGGACACGCGGCCCTTCATCCTCCATCTGTGTTTCGGTGCGGGGGAAGGCTCTCCCTGCCCTGCCGGCACCGCGCCGGGACTAGTGCAAATTGCCGGGCTGAGATCTGGGCTGGAACAGGCTTGTGTTGGATGCTGAGCAGCTCGGTGTTTGTGTAGCCCAGGACTGGCCTTGTCCAAGGGAAGGTCCGGCTTTGCCCTCAGCTTCTGCAGGGTCATCTGTTGTGCGGGTAGGAGGGTCCTTATCTTGGTGAGGGCTGCCCGCATCCGGTTGTCTCAGCCTGGGGCTTACCACGAAAGAAAGAACAGCCGTGTGTCTAGGGTGGGGACGTTAAGTCACACGGTATCAAACTGGTGGCCGAGATCCACCATGCAGCGTCAGCCATGCCCACGTGACGGAGCTTCCCAGCAGGCAGTGCTCCGTGCACGTGAGCACGGCGACACTGGGAGGGCACACGTCCAGACTCCACGGACAGGTGTTCCCTCCTCCAGGTTGTGCACTGGCGCTCGGGCGCTGAGATGAGACCTGGGGTGAAATGTCTTCTGTTTGGGTGGCTCACCCCACCCTCACATGGTGCCCGTGGGGTGAGGCTCTGCCGCAGTTGTTAAGGGCGGGCATCTTTGCTTTCCTCGCTCCCTGGGCTGGCCACCCGGCACACACCGACTGGTGTGCGCCATCTGCAGCCAGAACGGGCTGGGGAGAGGAGATGGCCGTTTAGGAGGAAGAACCGAGACAGAACTGCGTCGTCCTTGTGCTGAGTGTCTACCTCCAGACCCTGAATCCTTTTAAATGGTGTGGTCCTCAGTGATGCCCGCAACATACACAGCCAGTTACAACTGCATCTGAGCACCCGTGCCGCGACCAGCACCTGAGCTGTGTGTGTGCGGCCCAAACTACGTGTGTATGTACAGTGCAGACTGCGTGCGTGTGTACGGCCTGTTTGGTAAACACAGTCTCCCCTGTTGAGATAGAAAGTTTTTGTTGAATTGGGAAATCTGTTTTTTGAGACTTCTGATATTGTTTGACCAACAATGCTGCTTTAGAATATTGCACTGATTTCTCATCTCTGGTTTTTCTTGTCCTGTCACTAAGCCTGCTTGAAGAAATAGGAAGCATTTTCTGTTCCTAGGGGAACGGGCATTTGGTGGAAGGTGAGAGCACGTGTTGAGGAACCGCGTTACGAAGCGGCTCAGCTCAGCTGCGTGTCCTGGAGGCGCAGCCTCCTTCAGTCCTGCTCTCACAGGACGGCGCCGTCAGGTGGGCTCCCGCGGCGGGAATTGCCGACCTGCTGCCTTTTCTGAGTAGCAGAATCCTACTCTGGCCTCTGGACTGAATCACATGAGCGTCTTCCTTTTCGGAGAAAGAGCGTTTGCCGCCAGTTCTCGTTAACTTGCTTGCTGGGTGGGGATGACGTGTGCCGGGCCTTAGGGCTTCGCACCTGCCATTCCCTCTGCCCGGCACGTTTCTCCGCCAGGTGAGGACACGGCTACACCCTTGGCGCCGACCTCCGCACCAAGCTGTCGGCGAGGCCGTCCTCACTCGCCGTTATGGCAGCATCTGCCACTCCTTGTCACATCACATGGGTACCTGCTTGCTTGTCGTGTGTCCTTCCCACCGCACGGCGCCCCCTGAGGGCAGGGCCCTGTGAGCGCTGGCGGCCGCAGTGCCCCGCGCTTGCCCTGCCGTGGGCACGCAGCTGTTCGGTGACTGAGTGGGCACTAAGGGGACCTTGTGGGGCGAGGTTCCCCCTCGTCGCTCTCAGGTTTACCGTGCGCTTCCATAGTGGGGGTGGCTGCAGTGCGGGGGCTGAGCCGTGGAACTGTGGGGTGTGGGCAGACCCCCTCAGGACACATGCCCCAGGACTGTCCTCGGGGTCCCAGCAGTGCCCGAGGCTCAGACTTGGAAATCGCAGGACTGTGTGTGTGACCAGCTGGGTGTGGTCTGTGTGAAGAAGCAGTTTTGGAGAGATGTGGAAGGGAAGGGAGTTGAAGATGTTGTTTACGTGGATCTTTGTTCTGCTGGCCACGCGCCAGGCCGCTCCTCCCTCTGGTCAGAGCCCTTTCATCACCCCTTCCTTGCCACCTCTCCTCCCCGTCACCTGCTCCAGTAGCCACGACATCGCTAACGGAAACACGCCGTGCGTTCTAGGATCCCCGGCCGGCTGAACGACAGGAGGACTCCTCTGGGCGAGCTGAATTGGATCTTCACAGCAATCACAGACACCATCGCGTGGAACGTGCTCCCCCGGGGTGAGCCCGCCTGGCCAGGCGCTTGGGGAGGGGGGCCGCGGCCACCAGAGCAAGGGACACTGACCCTTGGACGTAAGAGAAGCCAGACTTTATCGATGAGCTCCTCTCTAACGAGGAAGCGTGACGGGGGGGCGGAGGGGGGAGGTGAGGACCCAGGATGCGGTGGGCTGGCGCACACCGGGCACTGGCGGTAGGCGCGGAGCAAGCTCCGTGTCAGCGTTCGTGCTGATAGTTAGCAAACCCTTCTACAGGTTCAGGGCTTATCTTCCTCGATAGTCATTGGTAATCTGTATTTGTTAGAATCGGTATTGCTATTATAAGACTTATTTGTGGTTTTTGTTTATTGGTTGGTTGGGTTTTGTTCATGTGTATGTATATGGCATGTGTGTGCATGTATTTGTGCATGTTTATATGTATATGTGAGTTCATGTGTTTATGTGCATGCATATGTATATATGCATGTGTTTGTGTGTGTATATGCACGTCTGTGTGTATGTATCGACAATGGCAAACATGTATGTTAGTTCCAACTTGTTTGTAATAATTTTTGATAGAAGTAAATTTGTGTATGTGGCTTTAAACGCCGGACACGAGTCACTGAAGCCTCCTTTTTATGCTTTATCCGCCCTCAGATCTCTTCCAAAAGCTCTTCAGACAAGACCTGCTGGTGGCTAGTCTCTTTCGGAATTTTTTGCTGGCGGAAAGGATCATGAGGTCGTACAACTGCACTCCCGTCAGCAGCCCGCGGCTGCCCCCGACTTACATGCACGCCATGTGGTGAGTGTCTGATGCACGCGTTGCTCCCGCGTCTGCAGTGGCACCAGTGTCAGGGGGTCACCGAAGCAGAGCAGGAGGCTTGATGCCAGACTTGGGGCCCAGCAGGACACGGTGGTCCCCAGGAGCCCCGCAGGTGGGGATTGGGCTCCTTTGGGATGCGGGAGCCTCGGGGCCTTGCAGGACGCAGGACCAGCAGCCCCCAGCAGCCTTGCAGATCTGTAACTGGGAGGGCGGCGCTTCGCGAAGGAGTTTCTAACCTCGTAGAGCCCAGTAGCGAGAGAAGAACTTGCCAGCTGAGTTTGTGAAGTACGTGTAGGGTCACTCGGGAGTTAAAACCGCTGGGTTCATGGCCAGCTGATTCGTATGCTCATTTCTCTCTCTCACACACCGCTCATGAATGTGATGTTTTATCACTGTTGATTATAATTTTCTCCCATTGCTGGGCTGCCACGTACCCTGCTAATAGTAGTAGTGATAATAACAGCCTAATTTATTTCAGTCCAGACAGTCTACGTGAAGACGATTGATTTCTTTCTGTTCCATTTCTCTCCCGCCATAAGCAGAGTCTGGGCAAGTTCTAAAATGAGATAATAGCAAAGGAAGGTTATTATAGGAATAGTCTTAGTTCTGTCCATCAATGGGAGAAACACTAATATAAATAGTTTAAAAGAGCAATTCGTCTGTTTAGCCTTAAAAACATACACTCAGGGAAAAATGTTTCCATGGACTTATTTCCGAGGTAGCCAGGTGGAAGGGGGTCTGCAGGTTGGTATGTTTTCATTATCAGGTTTATTTTCGCTCGTGATTTTTTCTTTTAAATATGTGCATGATCACTTTCCCCAACACTGAAAATCTAGACAAGCAAAAAAGAGTTTGTAAACTCACTACCCATCATCCATTCAAGAAAAATTGAACTAAATACTCTTATTTACATGAGATAAGTCAAAATCCAGTGCAGCATTTGGACTGTCAACAGAAAAGTTAAAATGTGTAATCTGTACTCTTTTTGAGAGTTCGTAGGATAAAATAGAGAACACTGATATTGAGAAACAAAGAAACTGAAGTTGACCACGGAGGATCAACTGCAGCGGTCAGATAGTGTGTAGTGAGGCCACGGCAGAGCACAGCAAGCTCATTTGCCGTCATCCATGAATAGTAGAAGCATATGAGAGATCATTGTTTCGATACTCACAATAAATAATTAGAATTGACATTTTTGGAAGAGTAGATCCTCAAAACAGCCATATTCCCTGAAGAAAAGTAATGCCTTAAGTCCTATTTTTTCTGAGCCACGTTTTTATACAAATTATAAAAAGGGAAGGAAAAGAGAAAAAGTGAAAGGAGTCAGCGCCGCATCTGGTCTCAGAGGGAGAACTAGTTACGCGAGGGAACAAGGCCTCACGGGGCCGATGGGCCTCGCGGATCCTGCAGGTCCCTTCCACCGACTATCCCAGAAATACGTCCATGGAAACATTTTCCCTTAGTGGATGTCTGCTCTGGCTGTGAAAACACTGCCTATGTGATGTGCTCTGCTGCCCCGAGTTGAAGAAGAAAGAGAAGATGGCACTGCATTGGAGCAGGTAGCACAAGGCCAGAGCCCGAGCAGAGCACACAGGCGACAGGAGGGACGCGGCGCCACACGGGATGCTGGGGAGGAGGCTCCGGGGCAAGGCCGTGCAGAATGACCAGATCCCATCCCTCATCCTCCTAGAGGCTTTGTTCTTGTACTGACATCTTAGAACCTTCCTGAGCTCTGGAATTCCTAGACGTGCTGTTTTATCGAAGGCCCAAAGTCTAGGCCTAACAGAAGCACCCTATGGTCGCCCCAGCCCTCGAGGGAGGCCAGACACTAGGAAGGAGGCCTCTGTCCTGCACACCACACCCCCCACAGGTCTCCTGGGCAAACCCCGTTTGTGGTTGTTGTGTGCTGGAGAAACACGAGGTCACGGCAACCCACAGAGGCCCAGAAAAGCTGGAGAAGGTGCGGCGTGTGTTCCCAGGTGCCTGGAACTGCCGACGGTCGTGAGCGGATGCTGGGTCTTCCTCCTTTCCTGGCTCCAGCTTCCCCGAGCACGGCAGGGGCTCCTCTTGGGCTGATGCGCACCTTGAAGTGGCATGTGTGACTCAGTGACTCAGCCTTCGTTGCCCACCCCCCCGCATCCTGCAGAGTGCTCTCCGCGGCATCATGTCGTCCTTTTCCTGTTCGGCAAATTGTGGTCACAGGTCGGGGTCTGCGGAAGCCGACAGGTGGAGCCGGCCTCGGGCTGCCGCTGAGAGTGGCTGCCCTGGGTCACCCGGGGGCGGGAGTCGGAGAGAAAAGCTGGGCGCCAGCACAGGGGCTCCGAGGGTGGGATGAGAGGTGAGCAGGCCAGCCGGTCCTCCCACTGGGGAGGGGCCGGCAGCCGGAGCGTCCGGGACGAGGAAACCTGTATCCTGAAGGGGGATCGCAGCCCCCGAACATGGGTCGGTGCCTCACCTGCCTCACAGCCGGCACTTCGGTTATCCCCAAACGCTCATCGTGATGGGGTCTTTCGTGAGTGGGGAGCCGCCCTGTGGGTATTCAGCTTGCTGGCTCCCCCCGCCCCCGCGCGTTTCTAGAAGCTTGTTTCCTTTCCTCATCCGAGACGGTGACTCTCTCCAGTTGTCTTTGCAGAGCTTGTCGCTGGACCCTGCTGAGGTCTGTGGTGGTGGCGTGGCCGTGGCCGTTTGTCAGAGCGTTAGTTTTGAGAGGGAAAAAACTGGGAATAACCCCAGCACCTGACAGAATAGGGATGTAAGTTAAGATGTGTATACTTGGAAGAATATAAGCAATCTTTTAAAATCTCATTCATTATTATGTAAAGTATATGTTAAATGATAAAAACAGAACACCAGATTATATCAGTAATATCATCAATATCTGTGTTAAAATCTATATTATACCTGGAAAAAATACTGACTAGAATTATAACAAAATGTTGATGATGCTTATACCAGGACGATGAAATTGGAGTGGTGGTTCTCCACCATAAAAATTGGTAGATGTTACTTTTGTAATTAAAAGTCTACCTGTAGATTTTCTAGGTCTTTGAAACAGTAAAGGGTATTTTTTTAAATGGAATCATTAAGGTTAAGGCGTTACTGGCCATAAATTCGAAACCGGAGGCGAACGGAAGAAAAACGTGAGCATTTCTTCGATGAGAGGCCTTCAGAGCGGAGCGAGAGGCCAGGTGTCCAGGCTGCCGTCGAGGGTGGGTGCGGGGCCGGCCGCACCACCTGTGCTCGGTCCCAGCCAGCAGCCACAGTGGCAATTCGCGAGGCCACTGTGTAAAATCATCCAGTTTTTAAAGAGTGGCCAACATTTCATATTTTCACATATAATTATCTGATTTTAGATGTCGATATCTCTTATTAAAAAGAAACATTCCGAGAGCCAGACCAAATGCAGCCGAGGGCCAAGTGCAGCCTGTACGGTCCCCATGAGAAGCTGGCCGTGGATGTCTGAGGACAGAACTCGGGGGAGCTGCGTGGTGCCCCGGCCGGCCCTGAACGCCCAGTAGCCGCATGCACAGTGGGAGGGAAGGGGCTCTCCCCTGCCGGTCCTGCTCTCGCCGTGTGTGTCAGAGGCCCTGTCCCGTCCGGGGTCTTTTCTGCAAGGCCTGGTATCATGGCTTTTGCCTGTATAGGCTAGAAAGTGCCAAATAAGTAAATTAAAAGGTTCTTTTTACAGAAATCAGTGGTGATGTGATTTCAAGGAGACTCACGTGCATTTAACACATGGTCTCTCTGGGGAGGGTTTTCGGTAATGACAGTGCCAGCGTGAATCTGCAGCCGGAAAGTAAACCATAGTCCCATTAAATGCTGGAAATTATGCCACGACCTACTTCGACAGGGGCGGATGTGAAAGTCAGGCTCTGGGTTTGGGGAGGAAACGTCCTCGCAGCAGCGAGCCTGGGGCATGGTCCGGCCGATCGAGCGCCAGCACGCAGGTCCCGAGACACACACGGCTCGCGGTTCCTCCCGCTGGCTTCTCTGTGGCTTCCTGCTGGCTCCTAGAGCTGGGGCAGCACCACGGGCCTGGGCATCCAGAGGACAGACCTACCCCAAGGTGGACCTGCCACGCTGGCCTCCGCACAGCACGGCCACCCAGCCCAGCCCACCCGCCTACCTCAGCTCCTGTCGCTGCCACCAAAAGCGTATTGAGAACTGGGGGTTCTCGGCCTTGTCAGTTCATTCAGTAAGCAGGAAATTCAATGGAATTAGTTTAATTCCATTTGGGGTAGTAGACCCCCCCAGATTGTGAGTGACTACAGGTTTTAACGCCCCTCCCAAGCTCTCCGTCGGAAGGTGCCTGGGGACTCGTCTCCTTGCCTTGACCGGCTTCTGCGCCCAGCAGCTGCTTCCTCGAGGGACCACCTGGCATGGACCACTCCCTCTCAGCGGTGTGCAGCTCGCGTCTGAAGGGAGCTAGAACAGCGCCTGCCTGACCACTGTGGCAGTTGGGTCGCTGAGGTAAGACTGTAGATGTGTCGTCCTTCAGAGGTGTTAGATGCTTTGCTTTGCAGCAGACGCCATGTTAGAGAAGCTCTTTGCTTCCCAAGGAGTGTCCACAGGGGCGAAGTGTCCTCTGGTGCCTGTTCCCAACCTGCTAAAATATTACGGTGCTTTAATGAGGCAGGAGAGGCGGCGCAAAGGCTCGTGCTGGCACCGTCTCCACGTCCTTCCCGGGTCTCAGAGAGTGTTTGCACTTGCATTTCCCAGACCCCAGGCCCAGCACTGTTTGATCTCCAGTTCCCTCGCTGGCTGAGATGATTTCTAAATAGGTGTCACTCGAGAAAGTCCCACTAAAGTAAGGCCTTTGGCTGTCTGTGGAGTCTGTAATTATGGAATTTCACCTGCGTCGTGTCCTGGCAACGTTCATGTTGACGTACAATTCTAGCTCTTCAGCACTTTCGCCGGAATGCTGAGTGGTCTGGACGCGAGAGCATACGGGAGACGGGCCCCGCCCTCGTGTGGGCGAG